AACACTTTCCGCCAAAGGAAAGCTCTGCATTTAGTTGAGCAGAGTGTATGACACATCCCTATAAAAGGATAATGGATGACACAACAGAACTCTGAACTATCAGCTCCTTGGCATCAGCAACACACTTCTGTCTTTGAATCTTGAATGAAAGTCTGAAATCTGGGAAGGTTTCTTAGCTATCAGGATAAAATGTACCTGTGAAATTAAAGGATTGGATGGAGAGGTAAGGGGAAGAGGTGCTCTGCAGGGAATGATATATGTCTGGAGATGTTAGTTTTAACACTTACTTCTCACTTCTTTAATAGTAGTGATAGGAACAACTGAGTTTCACAACCAAACAGCCACATTTGCTAATGACCAGCTCCTGCTGTGTGGAGCATGTTCACCTTGTTTGCACTTAAAGCTTGTTATAGTGTATTAGCCTAATGCCCCTGAACACTAATTCAATTGTGATGACTAAAATGGATACCCTGAATTTGTTTATTATATTTCCTGCTATTAGAAGAGTTAAACTTGGGCTAATGCATTCAGCAGCCCAAGCTAAATGAAGTCAAAGAAAAGCATTGTCAGTGTTTGTTCTTGGTGGAGAATGCCCTCTTACCATAGCTAAATTACAGAGCTACTGTCACTGGGCAATATGTGACTTTCTGTGTAGGATATCCTGTGTATTAATTTATAAGTGATCAGTGAGGAACATACTGAAATGTACATTTAGCATGCACATAATACACCACTTCTAGCTAAACTTTTCAGCTTTCCTCTGTACTTCTAATTATGGCAACCATAGCAGTGCTTGCAAGAAGTATGGACTCTTACCAGGTTAGATCAAATATGGTCTAAAATACAGAATATGGCAGGGGTGTCGAGCTCATTTGTTATGAGGGCCAGGTTTGACATAAATGAGACCTTGTTGGGCCGGGTCATGTGTGTCATAAAATGTAATGCCAGGTAGCGGACATATACATTTTATAAAGGACACAAAAACAAATATTTTTAAATTAAAACAAAATCATGCTTAAAACATTAGCTCTGTAAGCTGCAAACCTACTTTTGTTTTATTGACATTCATCACAAAAATCTCATGCTCAGAGTTCTGAGTCTAGGACCCAGGTTAAAACATGAAATGGCTGAGTGATTAAGAGAGTCTGGCAAAGCAAGTTATGATGTAGCAGCAGCAGCAGAACTGGAAGCAGAAGATGGCCAGTTCCACTGCGGGCCTGATGGAAGCCCTCCGGGGGCCTGATTCGGCCCCCAGGCTGCATGTTTGACACCCCTGGAATATGGGGTATAGATATGGAGCCTATATTCAGATCACTCCTACGCTTCGCCCTAGGGCAAATCACTGTTCTTTCACACTAACTGGCCTCACAGATCAATGGAAATAAACATGAAATAATAGCAATGTGCTGGCAATCCTATATAATTTACTTAGGAGTAAGTACTATTTGAATTTAGGGGAGCTTACCTGTGGATAACTATGCATAGCAGATCAGGAAACTATAACCGATATAGAAATTACAGATAACAGTTTTAATGTAAACCCCTACATTCACAAGATGCAAGGAGTAAACAAAAATGTAATTGGATACGAAGTTCTGGCTATAGCCTTTTTATCTGGTAGGGATGGATACTTACAACCGGAAAATGCCTTTTTTCTTCATGGTTGCTAGGATTTGAATGAGAGACAAGAATTCTCTAGATTGGAACATGGCAATAAATCTACAAGCAGGAGCATTTAGGAAACTGTTATTCCCTTTGAAAGTTAATCATATCTTCCAATTAGGCCTCTCACTTTCAAATGCAAGTCTGATTCCCTCCCAGCTCTCTTGAGATACAGCATAATGACAGTATTCTCTCTGTACTGATCCCAGGAGACTGCAGGGAATGAGAAAGGCTATTCAGAGGGCATCCTGGTCTCTCCTGGTTTGGTGTGTGGTTCCCTTCCCTCACTCTCTTGAGACATTGTTTGGTGTATGGTTCCCTCCCAGCTCTCTTCAGATATGGCTTAATGATGGCTTTCTTTTTCTACCTCATCGCAGGAGACTGCAATGTGTGTGTGTGAGAGAGAGAGCAGATGACATTTCATTCAGTCTCTCTCTTAGTTTGTGCTTGTTTGGATGTTCACATTTTATCAAGACTAGCAGTGCTATCTTAAGAACATTGGGAGTAAGCCCCAATAAATACACCTGAGTAGGATTCTGAGCAGACCTGTTTAAGATTGCTCTCTAGAAACGCTCATGTTAGAGTTGCCAACGAACATGAAAAATAAATGCCCACTCTCTTTAATAGAAGCTTAATGCATAGAAATGGGCAACTAAAGCTTTTCATGGCATAGACATGGTAAATAATATCCCATTAAACCACTATTAAAAGAACAGTACATCTTTTCCAGGCAACTGGCAACCCAATTTCTGCAGGCAGAAGTGGTTCCTTTCTTGTCTTCCTTTTTCACCCTGACAGCTTCCTGTGACTCTGGAATAACTGCTGGCTTCGGCCATAAATAAAACTTTATCCTTTATGACTCTGGAATAGGCATTATTGGGAGAAGGGGGACCCTCAACAGACAAAAAGTCATGCAGGTTTGTGGTCTGCAGAGAGAAGTGGGAGAGATCACCCATACTCCCTTAGGTAAATAGTAATAGGATATAACCCAATGGGTGTGCTACTTAAATTAAGAATATTAGCTAAAATTAATTATGTAACAACTCTCAAAATGACAGTGAAGAAAAAGCTAGTACAGTTCACAAATCTTGGTACTTCTCTGATTTCCATATGTTGTGATTCTGTGTATTTCAAATTCATTTAGATTGAAAATAGCCAGTCAATCTCTATACAAGCACTCAGGACAGTTAAGAACTTTACTATATTTTGCCTCATTTGGTTGATTCTAAAAAATATAGTGGTCTCCAACCCATCTTTAATATGAGACAATTATATGGGTGCAATCTAGGGTTGCCAGGTCCTTTTGCAACATTGATGAGGGGATTTGGGGGGCATTCTAGGACATCACTGATGTGATGATCTCACTCGAAAGTGATGTCATTGTGTCAGCGATGTAGCACAGCAACACTCTGGCTTAAGGGCAAAATTACCATACAGTTTTGCCCTCAAACCAGAGCAGGATGTGCAATGTCCCCGATGTGAAGATGTCACTTCCAGGTGATATCATCACATCAGGGGCATTGTGTCTTGACGTGGCTGTATGGGGGCAGGGTTTTCCCTACCAGCCAGCTGGCCAGTGGTGGGCAGAAGCCCCCAAAAGTGGAGAACCCCCGCTGGGACCGGGCAACCCTAGGCATGTTTACTCAGAAATAAGCTCCATTACAATCATTGGAATATTAAGAGTTTAGGTTTACCTTGAGACTAACCTGGAAACTCCAACTACTACAGAATGCAGTGGTGCGGATCCTTATGGGGACGCCATGTACAGCACACATCCATCCGGTGCTGCGTCAGCTGCACCGGCTTCCAGTGGAGTACTGGATCAGGTTCAAGGTTCTGGTGTTGACCTTTAAAGCCCTTAACTGTCTAGGACCCACATATCTTTAGGAACACCTCTTCTGGTATACCCGCAGAAGAACATTGCGTCCAGTAGATCAGAACCTATTGGTGGTTCCAGCCCCAATAGATATCTGGCTGTCCTTGACCAGAGACAAGGCGTTTTCTGCCCTGGCTCCAACCTGGTGGAATTCTCGGCCGAACAACATCCGTGCCCTGCGGGACTTGATGCAGTTCCCATTAAGGCAGAGATGTTCTGCCAGGCATTTGGTTGAGGACAGTGATGGTTCCATTCTCCTGGCACTCCCCCCCCCCCCCCGTGAGGCAATGGCACTATTGGAACTTTTAGCACCATCATTTAGGCAAATCACTGTGTTTTTATTGTTTTAACTATGTATGATAGGAATTCATTATGTTGTATACCGCCCTGAGCCCTGTCCTGGCAGGGGGAGGGCAGTTTAAAATCTAATGCAATAAATAAACTTGGGAATGCAGTCTCAATCCATTGGATTGGCGAAGTCAAGGGCAGTTAGACATATTAGTGGAATGCTTATATGAATTATTGTGCCATAACTCTAGATAGCATTGAGTGGACTCTGAAAGACACAATTCACATGATTTAAATCTTTTTACATATACTCTTGCTTCGTTTTTGTGGACAGGTAGGTAATGAATGGATTTCTGCTGGTGGTGAAGATTAAAATTCTGTCTCCAAATTTGGCCTTGGATGGGCAAAATGCTATAATATTCCACAGGGAAACGTGCTTCTGAGGATTAGTACTACATTACATCCAAAAAACAGGGGTTGACTACACAGTTAGAAGCAGTTACTCAACTAGAAGATGATCCACAGCTATTTAACTTCTCAATTTCCCATAGGATGCTAGTTTCCTGGCTAAACCCAACATACTAGCTATGTAAGGAACCAATAAGAAATATATATTTAAATGGATTTTCCTTCCAATTTCATTTTGAGTAATTGAGCAGATCCTTTGATATGCCTATTCCCTTTTGGGAAACTGATTTTCCAGTGCTTCATTTTGGAAGAGTTCTTTGCATATCTTTAACTATGCTCTTGACTACCAGTTTATACTAAACTCACCTTTTACTGTGATGGGATTTGTTGATTAATTTCTTCTAGGCACAATCATCTTCAGAGTGGGTGGGAGACTAGCAATTAGTAGGACCATCTTGATCAGCATCAACTATCCAAGGTACAGGATTAAATCCTCTCTCAAGTATTGTGAGGTGTGTTCTTTTTATTCAATCATCTCTTACAGAAAAACTTATTCAGAGTATGCTTGCACTGCACAGCAGGGATTGTGTATGGAACACACCTTTGTGTGATATTTATTTTTAGAAGAACAGATATCATAATTAGAATGGAGAACAAGATAACTGAGGAGGCAAGAGCAAGTTTAATAAGACACAAATACAGAAGGTAACAAAATTGCAAATAAATACAGAAGAACAGTGTCTTTGCATAGTTCAAAACTGAACATCATGTGGCACCAGCGTGTTGTGTGACTTGGCACACAACAAACACAGATCCACAGTTTAGACCCAAAGGTTGCAGCTGAAAAAATATATCCAAAAATCTCAAAAAGGGAAATTTAGAAGCAGATTTTAGCATGAACAGTAACTAGCTATTTTCCCCCCAGTCAAGCCATGCTGTAGTGTGTCTGTGTGCGTGTCTGTGTTTTAAAGGGGAAGATTGAGTTATATGATCTGTCTTGGCATGCCATATCCCGTCATCCCAGACTGGGAGGCGCCCTTGTTGCTTCCCATTTGCAGGCCAATGACATTCTGTCCTTGACGAAGTTGCTCCTCTGAAAACCCTCGCCGGTTCTTCTGTGCTTTCCTGTAAAGATGGGTTGTACAGGTCACATGTACAGGATTACTTATTGTCTTTGTGCATTGCTTTGAGTGCTTAGGTAAGTTGTACAAGCAACTAAAATGAAATAAAAATTAAAGAAAGCAAGGTACCTCTTTTAGTCACAAAAAGGTTGCTGACCATTTTCAGATGATATACTCCCTCACCCTGACAAACTTGAGAATTTTGGGGGGAAACAACCTGCTATGCAATTGCATAAGTACTGGGCTTCAACTAGATCATTTATAGTTCTGTGGTCATGGTTATTTCCACTTTACCCAAATGCAAGGACAAGTGAAACTTCCCAGACATTATAATAACATTCTGATCTCTTTCAGGAATGGTTCCATCTGACGGTTAGTGGCTGTTGCTTTATTTTGGGCCAAAGGCACAAGGCCTATTGGTACCATGCACTGATCACATATTCCAATTTCCAATTTTTTCCTCATCCTTTGAAAAACTTTGTCTTGTCATAAAAATCCTGAACCCCTTGAAACTTTGAAATCATAGCGGAATATGGGTCAAAACAGGCAAGATGATAGGGGGAAAAAACCTGACTGGATCTCCAGCACACTTCCTTAATAAACAGTGGCCACAATAACTACTGCTGCTTGCCTCAATGGCAATAAAAAAGGCACGAGGAAGGTAACATGGGAACTTCTGCAAGAAAACATGTACTCTGTCACGGATCCTTCCTTCTCATTCCTTGTTTTCCCATAAAAAGAAATTGCTATTATTGTGCAAAGGCTTAAGTGTGGAGGGAAATACTTTGACCGGCCCTTTGAAACAAGCCTAGTAAATATTCATGCCCACATCATTAAAGGTTTCACACATATTAAAATGTTTAAAGGAGAACAAAATCATAAATCTTCCCATTGCCTAGAATTTCCTTTCCACGTGAGATACAGAGTGTGCTAAGTAACTCTATAGACTCTAAGTAGCTAGCTAAGTTGCTTTGATTCATAATCATTCTCTGCCAGTTCAAACGACTGATTTGTCCTCAAGACTGATGCTTCCCACTGTAGTTTAAATGACAAAAGAATGCACTGGTTGGTATTAAAAGCCTAGTCACAAAGGCATACAGGCTCAGGATATACTACAGGAAATCAGAGTGATACTAGGCATGCTAGCCCTTCACCAACAAATGCTTGGAGATTTGGGGGGCAGAGCCTGGGGGAAGTGGAGTTTCAGGGGAATGTGATGTAATTTCTAGGTGATGCTCAAGGAATTTCCCCAATTCCTATGGTCTTTACAATAGAGATTGGAGGAATTCCTAGAGTGGCGTGGAGGATGTGACATCACTTCCAGATTGATGTGACATCAATTCTGGGCGATTTTCTAGAAATCTCCTCAATCTCTATTATCTTTACCACAGAGATTGGGTAAATTCCTAGAGCATCACCATTGACCATATCTTCCCCACATTTTAAATCCTGCTCCTCAAATTATCAAGGGTGGGGTGGGAGACTGTCTGCTGCTATAGAGCAAATGGAAAGCATAGGTGATACTAAAGGAGGTAGAGGAGTAGATAAACATTTGGCACAAATCTTTTCAATACTTTTTTTTTATAAATAAAGGTGAGTGGTTTGTTTTTTAAAAGGTGATTAAACACAAAAATAAATAGGCCAAATGCTTTCAAAATAGACTGGTTTGTGATTTTCCAAATTTTATTTTTGAAAATATCTAGGAACAAACCTTTAAATCTGTTTTGAATAGAGCATCTAGGATGCCAAAAAAAAAAATAAATCTGAAAATATCCCCCACAAAATGCCCTAAATCCACATGTGCCATAAGGTTGAAAATGGTTTGTTGAAAATAACACCTTTAACATGTGTCCTAACACTGTTATCAGGGAATGATGAAGTATGATCCTTACCTGTGAAACAAGGATGGATCCCCTCTATAACACCCATCATCCCTTGTGACAGCCTCACTGCCCAAAGCCATTAAAGTTCTTTGCACAGCTGCCATGTCTTTTCCTACAAATGCAGAAAATACATTTTTCACTTCAAAATTATTCAGCAGAACCATAGATACCAAAGCTTTTCACTTCACTATTTTCTGTGTCTTGAGGCACTATATCAGGAGGAGGCCTGTGGCTTACAGCCACATTTCCCACCTCCACCTGGCAAAGTGCTCCATTGTTCACATGGAGTCACATCATGTCCTTGAAGCTGGCAAAGTGAAGAGTGACAGGGCATCTGGGAAACGAAACCATTTGCCTCATCTCCTTGGCTCTGTCCACTGAAACCTGTCTCAATTGTATTTATTTTGTTGTAAATTGTTTATTCTGTTGTGAGGGCATCGGGCCTCAGTCTGCACTGGGAATCTGGGCCAGGATGCCCTTCAGCACCGTTCTCTTACCTTAGGCCTTCAGCTGGCCTCAGAGTGTAAAGAGGAATGGAGGTTATCACTCATCCTTGACTGCCACTTCCTTCTCTCTAGACTCTCCCTCGGAGATTTGCAGGGCTTAGCCTTCCCTCCTCCTGCTGGCCTCCTACAATGCCAGCCAAGTACACATACCTGCCCAGTAGGGCTTGCCTGCTTCTCACAGTAGAGAGCAGCCCCTGCGAGAGGCCAAATGTGGGCTGGATGGCCCATTCTCCAGTTGGCATCAGAGACAAATGTGGCTCCTTAAAGGACCAGGCCAACACAGGTGGCAGGCATGAATGTCCCCTGCCTGTATCTCCTATTGCTTCTGCTGCTGTGTGCGAGATGGCAGCAGAGAGCTGTGCCAACCTTTGCCATGGGGCTCCAGTCAGCCATTTTCCAATGCCTGCTGGTAAGTCCAGGGACACCTTAGCCATCCCTGCATATCCATATTGTCCAAAATCTGTTCAAGGTGGTTAGCAGCATTAGTTAAGACAATAATAATACAACTTTAAAATAAAACACACAACAATTAAAATCATTCAAACCATCAGCCATAAAATACATCCTCAACATTTTGAAACAGCAACCAGTAAAACTAGTAGCGGAAATAAACATAGTAAAGGGGTGCTCCTGCCTCCTGCTTCAGGAGCAATATACGTTGCTCTTCCACTACCTGTAAGATCTCTAAGACTGCATGCTACTTTGTTCCACCTAGAAGAAGAAGAAGAGATTGGATTTATACCCTGCCCTTCACTTGGAGTCTCAGAGCAGCTTACAATCTCCTTTCACTTCCTCTCCCCAGGATGAGGTAGGTGGGGCTGAAAGAGCTCTTTTGAGAGAACTTGTGACTGATCCAAGGTCACACCAGCAGCTGCATGTGGAGGAGTGGGGAATCAAACCCGGTTCTCCCAGATTAAAGTCCATACTCTTAACCAGTACACCAAGCTGGCTCTCGGATCAGGTTATAAGATCAGGTTCTCTATTATTTCGTACATAGCAAAGTAATTTTTATTAGCTACCACAGTACAAATTCTAATCTATGCAAAATTCTGCTGAAGTACTCCAAGTTCCATGCTAGGAAATTAAATCCACTGGTTCAATTTGGATTGGGACCATGGTGCACAGGGAGAGGTTGCTTATGTCTTCTTCCCTGTGCTGTTTTGCCAGCTTGAAATGATAACAGGGAGCTATTAGCCCCATTGGTGGCTCCACTTGCATTGATGATCTAGGTTTCCCTGATGGATAATACAATACATGGACCTGGGAAAAATGTGACATATAGTTAGGCTTAGAGTCAAAGTACAGAAGACATTAGATCTCCGACTGGCATTCACCAGCATTTTTATAGCTAAATAGCTTCCACAGGGAGTCAGTTTGGATCCGAAATATGACATGGAGATGAGAATGGTTTATCTCTTTTCCATAGGGTTGCCAGCCTCCAGGTGGGGCCTGGGGATCTCCCACTTTTACAACTGATCTCCAGCTGACAGAGATCAGCTCCCCTGGAGAAAATGGCTGCTCTGAAGGGTGGACTCTATGGCACTGTACCATGCTGAGGCCCCTCCCCTCCCTGGATCCACCCCCAAAGTCTCCAGGTATTTTCCAACCCAGACTTGGCAACCCTACTTTTCCTTGATGCTGTTTTCCTGATTTCAGAGCACCCCTTAGAGTTCTCCCTAATATTGACAAAACTTTCACCTATATTGGGTAAATTGGGGCCAGTCAGCCCCGTAGCCAGAAATTTTGGGTTGGTGGGGCATAGGAAAATTTTGTGGGGCAGCAGGGGAGGAGGGGCAGCGGCCGCACACCTTTCCTGAACTCCAAGCAGTAAATTCACTGCTTGGAATTCAGGGAAGGCGTGCAGCTGACAGCTGCCCCTCTCCCTCCCCTCCTGCAAGATTTAAAGGGCCTGCTGATCAGCTGGAGGGCCCTTTAAATCTTGGAGGAGGGGAGAGAGAGAGGCAGCTGCACGACTTAATGGCCCTCTAGCTGATCAGTGGGTCACATGCTCCACCAATCAGCTGGAGGGCCCTTTTAATGTCACAGGAGGGGAGGGAGGGGGGAGAGGGGCAGCAGCTGTTGTGGGGCATGCCTCACATTTGAGGGGGTAGAGCCCCAAAATGCCCCACTGTAGCTACAGGCCTGGGTCCAGTACTGTTTATGTTGGAGAGTTGCTAGTCAAGGTCACAGGCAAAGATAATTGCTACTTTTCCAGTTCTTTTGTATATCATACAACCATCTCTGACAGTTGAAAATGGCTATCAATGCTGTTTGTTTCATTCTAATCCACAAACTCAAGCTTCCTGATCAAATGAAGATAAATCAGTATATCAAACATCCTCCTGTTTCTATTAAAATACCATTCCATAAGTGCGATGGTTTAAAAAAATCATGCTTGTTCTTTTGCACTGAAACATTTCCTCCATAGAACAGTTATTGAGCAGCATTTCTTGTTTCCCTAATGATTATTGATTACTCTTCTGCCTCAGCCACTCCATGAGGGCAAAGCAGAAATTGTTTCTGTGAGGACACAGAGGTTGCTTCATACCTCCTGAGGCGGTGCCTTTAGCTAGAGGTGTCTCACTTCTCCCTGCCCATCATAATTTAGTATCTACAAAAGTGACTAAATTGTACAAGGCATTGTAGATAAATGAGCAGACAAACTCATTGGGCTGACAGTCTAATTTAAAACACAAAATAAACAGGAAAAGTGATAGACAATAATCTCAAATAAGAAAGAGGGCTTGCATTGGCTATAAGAGCTTGTGTTTGTTTTTCCTTCTGGTGGGGAACAAGAGTTTATCCTGACTCAAGCACACAGATTAGACAGCTGCTGTGCACATGCTTTTCCTATACACGGAGATTAGCTCCATGTGAGAAAAATGTCATGCATGAAGTAGGCCTTAATGTGGCTACTTTTCTGGAAGATGTTCATAACTATTCACTACATGGTATTTGAAACAATTCACCATGCAATGGATTACAATGATTATGTAATTTGACCCTACATGGTGCTGAAGGGAGGGAAAAGGCCTATGTAGAAAACCAAATTAAGGATAAAGTGAGAGCCAGTATTAGCTAGCTGATTCTCCAAATGATTGAAAATGAAAGATGCTTCAGACCAGCATTCAGAAAACCGAACAAGAAGAAATACCAACAAATATAAAATACCCTGAATGTTTAGTCTTCCCTCAGTTCAGCCTTTTACCACACCCATATAGCTACCTTATACTATGTCAGACTATTGGTCTATCAAAGGGCAGCATTATCTGCTCTGACTGGCAGTAGATCTCCAGCATCTTAAGCAGAGGCCTTTCACATCACCCGCATCACCTAATCCTTTCAGCTGCAGATGCTGGGGACTGAATCTTGTGAAGCAGATGCTCTTCCACTGAACAATAGCCCCACTCAAACCAAATGGCCAAACATCAAGTTATGCAGGAGAATCTATATTTGGACATCCTCGCATTTTCTTTAACATTAAAAAGCGGTCACCAGGAGGGAGACTAGTTTAGATAGGGTCATGAAGTTGACATCACTTTCTCAATAGAAGTAACTACCCCGATCTTATTGCGGGTAGTTGTGTTCTCAGTCTTTTCTAATAGTTCCAAGAAGTAATTATATCAGTTAAAAGTAGGTTAACAGCTCTGGGTTGGGAAATACCAGGAGATTTTGGGGGTGCAGCCTGGGAAGGGTGGGGTTTGGGAAAGCAGGGACCTCAGCAGTGTATAATGCCACAGAGTCCACCCTTCAAAGCAGCAATTTTATCCAGGGGAACTGATCTTGGTTGTCTGGAGATCAATTGAAATAGAAGAAGAGGAGGAGGAGGAGGAGGAGGAGGAGGAGGAGATTGGATTTATACCCCACCCTTCACTCGGAGTCTCAGAGCAGCTTACAAACTCCTGTCCCTTCCCCTCCCCATAACAGACAACCTGTGAGGTAGGTGGGGCTGAGAGAACTCTGAGAGAACTGCTCTTTCAAGGACAGCTCTGACAGAACTATGGCTTGCCCAAGGTCATCCAGCAGCTGCAAGTGGAGGAGTGGGGAATCAAACCCGGTTCTCCCAGATTAGAGTCTGCGCACTTAACCACTACACCAAACTGGCACTTAACCACTACACTAAATAGTGGAAGATCTCCAGGTGCTACCTGGAAGGTAGCAACCCTGGGAGATGGTACACATAATATAGGATTTAATTGCCCTTCTTGTGCCATGACCATAAGCCAAATGTATTTTGCAGATGCTTTTTAATGTTTAACATGTTGAGATATTGATCAGAGATCTCCCACAAGATTTTTTGACAGCTAAACTACATGTTCAAGAATGCTTCCTAAAGAATAGAACAAGGCCACATACAAGTTCTGTCCTTTAACCCTCCCTGAGAGCCAAGTTAGACGCTAGAAGTATCTGAGTAAAATGGGGGAGCTGGAATGCCTAGTGTCAGAAGAGAACATAGACATTGTGGGCATTCCGAAACTTGGTGGGATGAGGATAATCAATGGGATACAGTGATTTCTGGATATAAATTAAAACAGAAGGATAGGGAGGGAAGGATCGGAGGTAGAGTAGCTCTGTATGTCAGAGAGGGTATACTGTCCAGTAAGAC